ATGAAGATCGATGATCTTCAGCGGAACAGACTTCATGTCTCTTCGAGTGGTAACCATGGAAACCAGCCACCTCCATGCTGTGAGCATGCTCAGACCCTCACACAGAGAAACACACACACATCCTGATCCTGCTGTCTTAGTGGGGACTCAACCCGATGACACTGGACCTTTAAAGGTGCAGCCAGTCCAACGCTCCCAGGTCCCTTGAACTACCCACGGTGGGTTCAAACTCAGATACGTTCCAGTGTCACCTTGTCACACCGAATACATCAGTTAGCATCATGGCTCATGTTAGCTAGGGAAGCTAACGTTAGCAAACCAACATATCCACCCAGACAGGATGTTGCTAGCGATAATGTTAGCGAGCCATATTTGTGAGGATCAATATGAGTTATTGAGGAAATGCATTACTTTCTATATCCAGAGTCCGTCATTCCCGCCTTGGATTCAAATCGCCTTTGTTACCATGGTAACACACAGGCATCACCAGCTCAACCAGGACCGAAGAACTAAAGCCAATCAATCAATACCATGCGATTATTAGTTACTGATCAGTTACAGTGGGACCATCTCACATTCAGTCACATGATTCATGTGTTATGACATCACATGTGAGATGAAGTGGAAGGTCTGATGTCACTGATACAAGCTCCGCCCCCTTCACACACACACACACACACACACACACACACACACTCTGACAACATGATGTAATGCACCAGTGTGTGTGGGGGGGTGATCAGGTCTGTCACACTCAATCGATCAGCTGATCAGCTGCGTCCTCCCGGTCTGCACGGTCCGACCGCTGATGACGTCATCGCCGGTAGCGGATGACTGACAGGTCGGACCGATCAGATCAGAGAGCGCCGCGGCACGCGGATCGATCACAGCTCGGATCCGTCAGTTACAAACCGATAGCGGATCGATGAGACTCACCGCGGGCTGAGGAGGGTTCGGGTCCGGGTTCCGGTTCGGTCTGCTGAGGTTCCTCCGTCACAGAGCGGCGGACAGTGGACTCATCCTCCGGTCCTCCGAGCGGGAATGGATGCTGAGAAGGGGGAGGGGGGGTCGGCTCCAGTCGGCTCCTGTCGGCTCCTGTCGGCCGTCGGGTTACAGTTGTTTCCAGTTACACTACAATAACACAGCACAATAATTTAAAGTGACACACAGAGAGCAGAACCTCTTCTCAAGTCTCCAAAACTCGGAACACATTTTCTGCTTTACTTTACTTTTGAAATGCTCTGAACACAGTTCTCTGCATAACAAGCTGACAAAAAGTCACATGTTCACATTTCAAAACTCTGATTGGCCAATATATGTGCCACCTGGCCAAACACCTCAATGGTTCATTGTTACCACTTCAATCAGGAGTGCTTTTCATTACTCCCAAATGTGAATGTAACCCACTGGATGTGCTGCAGCCTCCCTACACACCCAGGGACTCTGCGTTGTGTGTATGGTTGTGATAGGGTGTTTGTGTGGGGAGAGAAGAGAAGCACTGGAGACAGGAGTTCTGGATTGTGGCTGAGACCTGGAGACACTTTATTGGCACACATTGACAGCTTTCACCTCTGGTCCTCTACACTGGCTGCTGGCTCCGTCACCCTTACAGGACAATGAATGAAAATATTGTTTATAGTTTTTCTTAAAAACTATATTCTAGTGCAAAATAAACAAATATATTGTGTCAAAATAATACTCTACAACCAAAAAATGATAAATTACAGGAAGTTTAATTAAATAAGGCACTCTTTAAACATATGACTTCATAAAAATAAATGAAATGACTTAAAACAGCAAACTGAAAGAATAATGCTTCATCCTGCAATATTTCCACTGAACAGGTGCTCTACTCACGCACAGCAAGCTAGCCAACATTACAGCCAAAGTTTTCATATAAAATACAAGTGTTCGCTTCTCAAACTCGCACCAGATGTAAACTAACATATAAATTAACACATCAGATGAACATAATGACCGGATGGGTGATTTTAGTTAAGACATTTTAGAAGGATGCAGGCCGCCACTAACACTGCTACCTTACAGGACAATGAATGAAAACATTTAGATGGCGTCCCGCACAGCATGAATAACCCAAACCGTAAGGGACAAACATCAACATTAGCTGTATTCCCAGAGCAATAGAGGGCGCAACAGTGTCACCCTGTGGAGTATTTAGGCTACTACCTTACATCTACCCCTTGTTTAATTGATGGCGTCCCAGCCATCAGACCAAACAGAATAAAACAAATGAAAGACCCTCTAAAACACAAGATTAGAACAGTTACACTGAAGGTGATGTATGAATGACCCGTGTTACACAGAGAATGTGTGGGTGCAACTCCAATCAAAGTGAATAAACTAGCTCTGATTTTATTACATGTGCCCTGATGTTCTTTTTGTTTTGGCCCTCTGCCACAATGTCCACTCTCTCTCTATCTTCCGCTGGTCCTCTTCTGATCTCACAACTTGTGACTCATAAGTGTGACTCTTGGGGGGA